TAAAAATGGTTCGGGCTTGAGAATGACCTGCTTTTGTAGCAACAATTTCCCGAGGTACTAGATCGGGTAATGCGCTTGGTGACGCCAGCGCAGGAGATGTCGCAGCTGGCTTATCTCTGTTGATGTCGTTCGTAGAGGGAGGAGAGATAGGCTCAAAAAACGTGTTGGTCTACTTACCTTGGCGTCATTAGAGTATTGAGTGATAATAAAGTCGTAGAAGGGACACTGAATAGTGGCTTTCGAGGCTGGTGGTGTTGGTGTGATGATCGATGTTGTGCTCGCCGCCTGAGTTGCATTAAGGTTTTCAGGATGGGTGTTTTGAACCATTCACAACAGCCTTGCAGGTGGCTGATTGCTCGTTGGGTCTTTTGACTTGATTCACCATCGAGAAAGTAGTCTAAATACCTGAAGCCGTGTGCGATCCCCGGTTTTCAGGAGCCTGGAGGCACCGCGATGGAGAAGGGGCTGGCTGATTGGGCGATGGGGACTTGGTGTTGTTGTGGCATCCGAAGTCCCCAAGCACGGGGTTCGACAACTCTCGCATATATTTAATGGGAGATCCCGTCTTGGGTTGTGGCTGGTTGACACGCAGCAGCAAGGAGAATTGTCAGAGTTTGCTTCTCAGCGATGATCTTTAATTCAAGCAACGCCTCATGACGTTGAAGGTACATGGCTTTTGACCGGGGTATGGTAATGGGTATGGAGTTGCCCTCCGCCTGTTTTGTTGGAGTGGTATTTGGGTATGGGTATTCGATTTGACGAGTTGACGATCTCTTGTCTACTAGGGCGAAGTTTGTAGGTGACATTGCCCGGTCTTGATTACGGACCGTCGTTCATAGTTCAGTGAAAAGTACGTTCACATTCCCAATATCCATTCGTGGTTCTTGTCGAGTCAGTGTGTGTGTGTGGGGGGGACTTGAATTTATATTTCGACATCTCAGCCGTCTCGCGGACGGTGAGGTGAGAGGGGCAACTTGATAGCCTGCGAAGTTCGTCATGTTTAAAGGTGAGCCGTAGGACACTTGCAAGGAGTCCCCAACAATAATGCCGCATTCGGTCGGTCGTTTATGACGAATGGCTTTACTAGAGGTTTTGGAAACCTTGACAGGATTGAGTCATTGACTAGTCGCGTCCTCGCACGAATTGGATATTCTGTCGCAAAAATGCGTGATAAACAGAGGGGGAGTGCGGACGACAGTGACTTTCGGTATTAAAGTCACGAGTGGTGGCTGCCCTTTTCTTTGGGGATGTCAGATTTATTTTGTGTGAGCTAGCTGCGCAACAGAATCCTGCAAACAAGACAGAATCACGTCGCCTGGTACGGTTGCATTGTCTTTTCTGTTGGTGAAGTTGGCATGAGCCTGCTTTTAATAGTTTGTGAAGCTGCGTTGTCATAATGCTCGTCAGGCCTCGGGATGTGGAGGGTCGTGGTGAATAGCTCTGGGGCGAAACGGCATGGATTCGGGCTGCTTGATGCGATGGTACAGGTCTCGGCTATCTTTCCGAACGTTCCACATAGCAAGCAGCGTCGCGTTGGAAAGGCTTTGTTCGTATTTAAATCATGGTATCATTAATGACTGGAGGCTTTTGTCACACAGCAACAGTGACCGTCGAAATAATCCCTGGCTGATACCTCATGTTTGCATTTGACACGGGCTACCAGTTGTTTGGTGGTCTTCCAGGAACTTGGATGCAAAACGCCGCCACGATATGAAGTCCATACGTTTGGTTCTGCCTGTTGTTTTCTTTAGTACGTGCTTATTCATCGATTTGTTTTGATGCTGTGAGATGAGAAGTGCAAGAGAACGAAAGGCGGGATGACTGGGTTGCGTGTCGCACAACAAGCTTCGCTTCGCCTCCCGAGATTCAAGATATGGATCCCCAGAGTCGGACTTTCATTGCCCCAGAGTCGGACTTTCCTTGCCCCAGAGTCGGACCTTCATTGTCTTGTCTCGGACTTCAGTGCTGATTTCTGATTTCAGAACCTTTTATACTGCTAGAAGCATGGGTCATTATCGGGATACACGATATGGTGGGATTCGATGATTTGCCCCCATTCAAAAGAGGTGAATCAATCGAAACAAAGTGTTGTTGATCGCATTGTAAGAAGTTCTTCTGTCACTTGGAAGGTTTTGCTGATATCCCATACCATTTGTAAATTACCAATTTGTTAAGTTCGGAAAGAGAATACTAGGTTCAGTTTTCTTCGTCCGTCATCAACCAGAGCACTTTATTACTCATATAATACTCAAAAGCTCTAAGCATATCGAAGTTGTTGGCGGGTTGACCACAGAACGACATCTTTCAAAGTGTATTGCATGGCACCTGCATTTCACCCTCTTATCAATGCAATGTTCAGGCAAAGCAAAACCTTTTCAGAGTCTTGAATCGGCGTGGCTGAAGTCTTCTCTCGGGCATTGCGCGGCGTTAAATAGCCAGGCAAGTCAGCTTCGGCCCCTTCCCCGATTGCAGCAGAGAATGCTCGCGTTGCAGCAGGCCAGTGCCCATGAAATCATGCCAATTTCAACCTTGAAAGGTAAGAGGTCCATTGTACATAGATTGAAACGTGACCAGTCACAATCTAGACTGCGCCAGATCCAATTGTGATCGGCCTGCTGTCTTTCGATATCGTTCCTGAATACGAGCACGAGCTCGGAGAAGTGGCTTAGGACGTACGTCATAGAAACGATATCGCCTTGAGATCATTTAGAGATAAGGTCTGTTTTGTGTCCTTGGGGTGGGGCCAGTATTCATACATACTACCGGAGAGTCGGCTGACTTGCTCATACCTTCCTTCATACCCGCTTCAACAGCTGGCAGATGTGCATGAGAATGAGTGGTAGCTTCAAATACGCCCCGGAGAGGATGGAAACCGGAAAGAGCACATTGCCATAATGAAACAGTTCTTGGCAAGTTCACCATCATTATAAGTGGGAGCAGAGAGAGTCTTGTCAGTGTTTTTCAAATGAAGATACACGCGTTCGTCAAGATACGAGGATGAAATCGCCCTTTCGATATCGGAATAAATCATTCAGCTCATCGTAAAGCCTTCCTGAGCATACAGATAGAGTATCGGAAATCTTTGTTTTCGGCAATAAGAATTCGGGAACCGCAAAAAGCTTGAAGTATCCAGGGCAGAATTATGCCTCCAGGAGAAGTTCCAATAGAACTGAGTCGAGTGAATTTGAATGCTTAATCACACAAGTCTGACTTCCTCTGTGCTACATTGATCCCAAAACTCCCTTCCACAAGGCCCATCTACCGCCGTGAAAAACACTCCAGCTCTGCGATACTCTCCAGTCTCCCCAGTAGGAAGTGCGAAAAGACCCAGAAGAAGGTCCTGATAAGAGATGTCGTCACGATGCCTATCCTTCCAATCGGCATCGGTGAACTTGCTCGATAGCAAAACCATATACAATTGGTCGATGGGGCCATCGTCGCAAAGTTCTCCCCTTTCAGAGATTTCGCTCGACGGTATAGACTGAAGTAGCTAGTCGGGACGTACATGCGCTAGGACGGTCCCATCGTCTGCCAAGAGTTCATAGGGGAATACAAAACCCCACCACAGTGGGTTGTGGCGCATCCTCGTCGACGGTATGGCACAAATCTTGGTTGAGAGCAAAAGGAAACTATCCTTCACCCTGCCGTAGGGGTTCAAGCCATCCAGAGTAACATGGCTATCGAGAAGCTGGAACTCTGGCTGGTAAGTTGTCTTCGCATGGGAAACCCATGTTATGCCTCGTGGCTGAGATGCCCAGCTCCATGACGGTGCTGTGTATGATTCCTTTGAAAAACTGCTCAGGTACTCAGAGGCTGTTTGTCTTCTCTCGAGTGACCATAATAATCCATTATTCAGATCAGAGCTGAAAATGCCAGCCAGGTAATCCCCTTTGACCCTTTCTGTCCAAAGCTTTGCTAGCGCAGAGAGCGCTGAAAAGATGTCGCTCCGGTAAGTGAGAGACCTGCAAGAATATGACGAGACCAGCCCTCGCCATTGAGACAAAATGTCCCCCTCAGAGTTTCCCAGGGATTCCTGCTGCATGTTTCTCGAGAACGTGTTTGACTTGTACTGGACTTCTTTGGGTGTTATGTCGTAGATTGAATCTTCTGAATAGACCAGGTCATCTCCTGAACACACATGAATCATACTTTCTCCGAAGAATAGTATTCTTGAACTCAAAACCGCTTCTTGGAACGTCCAACCACGTCCGTTCCAGCTGCAGTTTTGGTCGTCGCCGTAAGGATCATACAGCGTGAGGCCAAGATCGAAAGAATCAAATTCCTTGCCAAGAACAAGGGGCAATACCTCCGGACATTCTGTCGAAGGGGCAAAAAGAGAAAACCGGCCAGAAACAGCGGGCTTGAGGGACGAGGTGAAGTGGATCTCAGCAGAATTTGAAGGGCATGCGCGCGTGAGGAAGCCATCGAGGCATGAGTTACCTTGACCGGCGCAAATCGTCAGGTATGCCCTAGCATAGACAGCCCCCATTTGGCCAGCCTCGCGTTCCCAATCACTCTTGTCATCCTGGACGATGCAAAGAGAATCTATCCAGATGTACCGCACGCCCAGAAGGGTGCATATCTGAAGAGCATCTTGATGTGTTTTTGGAAGCGTCGAGAAAGATATCTGACGGAGCCGATCTTTGAGCGTTGAAGTATTCGTCATCAGTTGGCGTGCGGCTTTCTCAGAGGGTCCCCAGCAGTAGCTCAGCGCAACATAACGTTGGTCTTCATGTGGATTCTGAAGTGGTGGGTAGTCAGCCGTGATGACAAGCCGGGGATCGTCGTTTTCCTTGCCCAGGCCCCGAAAGCCAACATCAATAAGTCGGGTCGGGAGTCGCCGGTCTTTGGTGACTGGAGCAAGAGGAACTTGCAAAGCTATTTCCATGAGCTCATTCAGACGTCGCATGCCCGCTCTTGATGAGATATTTTCCTGAACTGGCTGACGTGGTATAGAAAGCCATTGAGCGCATGGATCTTGGGTTTTGGGTCAGCCAAGCTCAAAATCCGGGATCAGGCATCATTACCATGAGGGTCGGCTTGGACAGGGAGTTGGAGCTGCCAAGACAGATCTTCTTCACCACTGGCTTCATTCAGAAGCCTGAAATAAACACACAAGGCTTGAAGATGTGTCCTGAAAGGTGGTTCACTCAGTGTGTGCGGTCCCATGACGTAGCATAGCTTATGAATAAAGAAATCTGAGTATTTGCGCTCCGACTCGACGAAACTTGTGAGAAACCTGGCTATCTCGGTCTTTATTAGAAAGCATAGCGAGCAGCCATTCTCAGCCGATTGAGACAGAGCTGGTAAATCTGGCAGTACATCTTTGAGGTCGTAATCGAGGTAAATATGGTGATGGAGCTCCTCGCCTTCAAGATGGGGAGCGAAGTAGGACTGGCCAGACGGTAAGGTCTCAACAGTTCCGTTGAGATCCGCATCGTTGAACTGGACGACTTGGCACTTCTTGCAGAGAGTAGACATTTTGAATAGAGATTGAATGATTGAAAATGAGCTTCGAGGTGCAAGGTGCGCGATTGTGAATGGACTAAAGTTTGGCGGACTAAAGGAAGAGCAAGTGCAGAAGCTGGGTACCAATGAATGCGATGTTTATCTGGTAAGGATGAGGAGAAAAACACAGGGAAGGTTGTAGCCATGTGCTTCCGTCTTAGGCAAGGAAAATATAACGCAGTTTTGAACATGTCGCGACTTCAAGGTTTTCAAACTTGGTTAGCCTATTCGCCCCCTTGTCGAAGGAAGGATGATCAGCCTCAGTGGGGAAAGAGCAGGATGAGCTAGGCGGCAGAAGCGCTTTGCGTGAATTATCAAAGATCATCACATGTCTCTGCCTACCGGAAGGACAATTGTCTCGAAAGGTTGGCCCTCAAAGTGAGAAGACTTTAGTGTCACGATCGTTTTGTGGATAGTTGCGATTTGCAAATCAGCAGCACCGGAATTTGTCCGTGGAATGTTGAAAATTAAGAAAGAAAACTACGGTTGCAAGTGCATTTAATATTATGACAGAGCCACAGGAAGTCCATCATATAAACACCCTTTTTTTTTCTCCCCTGGCCGAGTCCGTGAATCTCAACGATACGATCACCATGGTTGCACAGAGGTTCCGGAACCGAACTGGGCTTTGGGGTGGAGACAGTATGCAAACACAAAGTATGTTGCCAAGGAAGGCATGCCAGCTTGGCAAACAGCTGACAGCTACTGAAAGGAGCTAAAATGCAGACTTGAAGTTTCGACTGCCGACTTTAAGGCCGCCCGGCTGCCTCGAGGGCGACAATTTCGTTCGCAGTGCGGCAAGATGAGAAACAGAGAGTGAGCGTAGAGGCTAGCTGAATTGCACAAGGTTCAAGGACCCCACTACGGCCGCTGTTTCCAACAACAAGGCAGATCAGCTGATCTGCCCGGCTAGCTCAATCGGTAGAGCGTGAGACTCTTAATCTCAAGGTTGTGGGTTCGACCCCCACGTCGGGCTCAATTCCCGTCCGCGATTGCGCGCACATTTCTTTTGCTCTTTTTGAGAAGTGCCAGCCACGTCGTACATTGTTCTTCCTCTGTCGTCTTCTGTTCCCTAAGCTTTTTAACCCGCCATTCAGATCTTTTCAATCTGGCCGGACGATCGATTACCGCAAGCTTTTGATTCCGTCTAGAATGCATTAAGGCATCTAATTGAGTTGACTTTTCACGTTGGACGGTGTATGACTGGTTCCTGGAAGTCTGACCAGCCATGGAAATTTACATCCAGCTGAGTGAAGAGCGACGTCACTTCATACTGAGCGAGAGTGGGTATTTGGGGACGAAGTTTGTCCTGATAAGTGCATTAAAGAGAGCCATGCAATTCCAGCAGGGCTTGAGGAGCATCTGCGCTAATTGCATTCGACAGGTAGTTGCCTACAGTCTATGTGCCAATTCATCATTGGTAAAATAGTGTAGTTCTCTCAATCACCCACGCATTGCAAAAGTAGAGGATCACTGGAGTGGGGTTTACGATCAAGTTGAGGATCTTCATGATACATGCAGTATTCAAGTTGAGTAAGTCACTCTGTGCTAGCAATTCTGGCAATTCGAGAGGCGCCTAAGGGCCCTATTTTAGTGGAACTATGTAGACTCCGTCATTGTCTCGAACCAGACTCCTCCCAGTTGCCAATCTCTCTAGGCTGCACCGGAAGCTGACGAACGTATCGTACTAGTCGCTGTTCACCCAGGTGACCCTCTCAGAAGAGCTATAAACGCGCCCCCTGCACCTGCTATCGATGTAGAAGTGCAGGACACGCTCCTGACCGCAAAACAGGACGCCTTGTCGTTGTATTCGGGACCGATGTAGTCTGTAGATAGAGTCAGATCAACTCGTTGATATTTCAGTAGGGAGAATGCCTCTGAACAGGAAGCAAAGTGAACCTCGAGACATCAAGAAATGCGACTTTGGTACTTCATCAATACCGAAAAGAGCTGTTTCAGTGGATCTGAACTGGAGGTTGAGATGATCATCATGGTTACTTTGCCTTGCGTGTTTTTTCGAACTCCTGTGTATTCTCAAGCAATGTCACCGGGCTTTGAAGGCCTTGAGTGTGGCTTGCACCCCATCAACGCAGGGTTCCAATCCTACTGCCGCCAAACCCACCATCTAACAACTTGATACCAGCGGCCCTTCCTTGCCCCCATTATCGGGGATTTATCCGCGTCGAATGGGTCCAAATAAAGGAACCGCACACATATAAAGGTATTTGCAGCCAACCGCACACCATCCGCCTGTGCTAGCCTACAGATAGTAGAGAATACTTTGAGTCCCTTCGCACCGCATCTAGCATCGCATTCGAAGGATGCGGAAAGCTAGAATTTGTTGTTGGGTTCCTCTCACAACGCTGAGTTTGATGATTAAATAGGGGTGCTTCCCTGCTCTGCCAACAGTGCATGTCAATTGAAAACGCCCAACGCGAGGTCAGTCGATCCGCCGAGTCGGAGTCAAGTAACTTGGAAGCATCAAATGAACGATGGATTTGGTGTAAATACTATGCATGGAAGAAGTATACCTCGGAGACTTCGTGCAATAGCATAAACGCCCCACATGTGCATGTCAACTTATGTGCTTCGCAAAATGGCGCCCCCTTTCTGACACTTTCAGTCTCTCTACGCCTAACATCTAACGCTCCGCCTACATCCGAGGTCTCAGCCTCGCGCGTCGTACCTTTTCTCTGCCATCTTTGTGGTATACATACTAACATGCTAAGTGAGAGCCACACAACAGAAACAGGCGAAAGGTAACTTGCGGCTATGTGAGTGTATATTGCATGGCCTCACCAGGATTCAGTAGTTGCTCATGCAAAGGCTTGAGTAGCTGCCGTTGTGAGAACTCAATCCGCAGGAGTATGGGAAGGCTTCGATTTGTCCCGTCTTTCTGTGGTATGAAGTCGCGGTATATCCTTTATAAGAACACCTTTGCATTGGCATCTGGCACATCTCGCTTTGCCAGAATGCTAAGATAATACAACAAGAAGTATAGACAGCTTTGCAAGCGGTATAAATCACAGTGTTATCATAAGAAGTCTCAGACCCAGAATTAGATATGAACCGTTCTGTTCTCCAGCTGAATGCGTTTGCAGGTGCTGTGAAGCTGAGTAGAGCACCGCTACCCAGCCTCGCCAGAATCTATCTTCATCAAAGTTTCCCGCCGCGACGAACCATCTCGCCATCCCACAATCCATCATCCCCATCATCAGAAGATTATACATGACGTGCATGATCCCTGGAAAGTCTGTTGTTGACAACGCACTTTTCTTTCAACCCCGTGGCGTAAAGTGCCTGCAGGTCATCAAAACCACAGCTCCCTCCCAGGTTGAAATAACGCAAGCTACCCCAATAGCCAAACTGCTGATCGGTGTTTGAGTTCAAAAGCAAAAGAAATCGCTCATTCTCATGTACTTAGATATTTGAAAGCTCGACAATGACGTCGGGTAGATGAGAGACTCTCCCCTTGCCCGTCCACAAACCGAAGCTCAGCCAAGCCCTCTAGCTTTTCGCACCGTTCATTGTAGGATATAAACACTGCTCGATGCCAAACGAAGAGCTCGTCAAATCATGTTTCACTTCATCCGTGTTTTACTTGCACACTGAGCAGATAACCTTTCTTCGGAGCTGACTACTTGGGAGATGCAACCAACATTTCAAGTTTCGCTGTGCGTGCGTGCTCAAATTACCCGTCGCCAATGTCTTCCATCACCCCAAACTTACATATCTGTAAGGTGTCCTACTGAAAGCCATAGAGACAATCGTATGTCTCCAAGGAAACCCACTTGGTCACGGCAGCTTTAGGCAACTGGGCGTCATATCTAGATGACCTTGTCGACCCCTCAAATGTGGGAAGCCGATGAAAGCTGAGCCGGGAAAGGCCAACAGCATCCCGGCACTTAAAGGCTCCTCCGTCTGATGAAAGCTCAACTAAAGCCACAGCTTCAACAGGATAACATCTGTAAGCATTAACGATAGGTACTTTATATATTCCCTTCCACGCCGGCTCTAGCACGGATAGCCCAACACAATCATACCTCCATGTCCAGTCAAAATGTTCCTCAACTATTTACCGTTTCAGGTAAAAAGACGAAGAAACTTCAATATTTTCCATACAGCATCTCACCTCACCTCGCAACTTAAGTGCCCAGCGAACTCCATCTACCGCCGCTCGTCTCTTCTCCTATCAGTATATACATCCTCATAGACCCCTTGCTCGCTAACCCACCCAGCATCTACTGTCATTAGTATCTCTGACAAGAAGAAGGACCTTGGTTGCACGTTATAGAAACTTGGTTCTCCTTTCAGCAGAAGATCTGACAACCAGAAACCTGCTTCCGAAGGATAGGGGAATTTGCCTCAAAAGCCAGAGCTCTCGGCTGCCATTTCAATGTTTAAATTCCGAATGAAATGACCAACAACTCGCTCCACTGTACCCGACCCTCACGAAGAATAGCTGTCTGATGATGGTTGTCTTCGCTTTCAAGACAAAAAGCAGCCCCCACATAAAACTCATTTCGATATGAAACAGAAAAGACGTGTTCCTCACCGCCGATCCGTTCAGGAGGCAAATTCGGAGAGTGCCCAAGTATAGTACGGGTTGTGATCCCAAGCCCCGACCGTACCAACCAAGTCAAAAGCAACACAGCCGTCAGATTCAAACCATCAAACTCGCCATGAGCCCATCGCAAACCTTGGTGTCCTTCATCACCGTCGCCCATTGTATAGTCCAACTATCCATCCCTCGCATCTCTGCGCTGTCATCCATACAACCTTTACGCATCCCTTTCAAGACCAGTGTACTAAACTTAAGTCATAGAGACAGTCTACTTCACCACCGTAAAAAGACAACTCTGCCCAACACATTGCCCGCTTCTGAGATCAGATTCTAGCGTCATCAGCACGCTTATATATCCACAAAACTCACCACAAGACGCTTCAGTACAGTCAACAAGTGCGCCACCTCAAACTTTCTATATATTCAGCCGTGGCGGATGATTGCACTCCGCAACAGACACAATGCGCGGCGTCGTTTCCCGCATTCAAAGCTGATCGCTGGGCATTGATTAGTGCTGTTGCCGTACTGTGGAGATTCCACCCGATTTTGACATGACTGCATCACACCATGCGTCAACCCCTTCCCTCATCACCGTCTCTCATGGTATATTCCCATTCGTATCAGCCCGAAGCAAACACACCCATCCCTATTTCGCCCCTTCACAAGGTCGTGACTTCCTCTATATCTCAGTCACCCATCCAAGAGTCACCAATCAGGTTCATCCATCTGTATAAGGAGAGAAGCACGTCCTGTGTACACTGCTTATTAGCCTTCCACGAGGACTTGAACAGAGTATCTATGCCATTATATACCCTGCAGTGACCGTTTGTAGACCCGATTCTCCCCTCAGCTTCCCGGCTCTCTCGTGAAATATATAAAAGCAATCCTCATTAACAAATTGATAGCTCAGCAAATATGTTTTTGTGTCTTTAGGTGGCCGCTTCACGTGAGCTATGGAAGATTCTGCTGATATGAGAGCTGTTCCAGTAAAGACAACTGCAGAAACATCCCCCATCAGCACGAATATATGACCAGCGCCGGTGATGTTCGTGTTCTCTGTTACTCTAAACGTATTCGTCGCGCATTCAGTCCCGTTCCAACTTACACGGCAGTGATGTTACGTCCAGAATACTAATTATAGTTGACATAGTCATAAGCATATGCGGTTCAGATGTAAATGGTAGCATCAGCCTATTACAAATCTTCACCGCAGCTGTGATTTGGCTGGCTTGTAAACTGATCCCTCTTCTAGAGCATAAATAGTCGCTCTACACAACGCCCGGGGCGATAGCATTCAAGGACGACTCATAATGTTACTTTCACCAATCTCATTCATATTTAAGCCACGTTCTACAAATCTCTGACTTCATAGACCAGAACAACAAGAATGTGATGTCGTCAAGCGGGTATCGTTTCCAGAATCGCAAGCGTTAGCAAGCCCCTCAGTCCAAGAGCTGCCCTCGTACTTCATCGCACTGAATAATTTAGCTTGGTGACTAACCAATCCCACACCGTCTTTCGCCCCTGTCAATCTCTGCCCAAGTATCCGTCACAATAACAGGGAGTCAGACCCTTTTGAGATATCGGATGCGCGAAGTACGATCCTCGTTATGCTTCCACTGGCCTGGGATAGAAGGACACCGAAGCTGTCAAGCGGTGCAGTGTTCTCATATGAACGATGAAGATATCGCATGGATTGGTTCTGCTAGAAACTTATTTTCACTACGAACTGCCCTTATGTAACCACATCAACCACTAACATCCTTCCACAAGGACCCTCAAAAGCTACCCAGCTTCACCGCAAGCGCTCTACCCCTCCATTGCAAAGACCATATACCAGCAATCGAACATGCCCACTAAACAGAATATAAAACAGCATCCCGCGCCGAACCTATTCTCAAGGACAAAAGTAAACATGAGGACGTCTCCGTTCAGAGAATTCATCACTCCTGCCTTAGTGACTCGTCTTCCACATACCACCATCCATCACAGCAGCTCAACCCATCAGACAAGCACACATCCCCTATCAATGATCTTGCGCCGCTGTTCTCCCTAGCCATCCCGTGTGTATTACCATACCTCCCCTTCCGTCGCTCACAAACATGCACATCTAAAGTCCCAAGTGAGAGAAATTGTCGATTCACAGAAGATCCAGCATCTTCAGAATAGATATGAAAACAGACCAAAAATTGCAATCCTATTAAATTGTCTTAGCTACTTCCTCTACCCAATATCTTCATATTTAAATAGACACCCGGTCCACGACAAACACAGCTCCACCACGCACGACAATCCCATGCCCCTCGGAAGTATACAACAAGCCTTCTAACACACCATATCCTCCCTCACAACACAGAAATAATATGCATTTCCATGACAGGCGAGTGACGAAGGACGGCGGCTTCTCTCAGTGATCATCCACCGTCGTCCACTGCCTGTCACAACCTTCAAGTCAACGCACGCCCATCTCATCGCTGCAACCAACACACAACAAGCCCCCTCTTCTCCATAGTCTTTCCTCATTTATTCCCACAGCATAGCCCACGACCAACAATCCAAGCCTTCTCCAACGCGATATTTGGCAATGCCACATGTTCATCCACCGGCATGCCGAGCATATGTTATCATTCAACAGCGTGGCCCAACACTCTGGCTGATTTGATTTCAGTTCCAACAACATCCACAAACAATTGTGTCTTTTTGCCCAGAAACAATTAAAGTGAGAGCATATTTATACCAGATTGAGTGTTTGGGCGAGGCTTGCAAGCTTGAACTCGAGCCAAAATTCCTGCACACTTTCGTCGGGTCGAAAAGTCATCCATGGATGTCAGTAACTGTCTTCAAAAAACCCCAACATGTGTAGTTCCAGCCAAACAAAGTGTTTACTGATGACCACCTGTCCTCAGCCGTTGGAACACATACCAATACGCCAGGTTCACCAAGAGACGTCATGGTTACACACACCGAGAGTAGGAAAACCTTTAGGTATTAATGCATTCTATCTATATACCAATTGCCCATGTCGTGTTCGCCAATGCTCGCAGAAACCAATCACTTTTCTCCATCCTCTCTGTTGCACCATCATGAGCACCTGCACCCAAGCGGCTGCTAGCCTACTTCACCAGCATCCCACAACTCTCTGACAGCAAGAGATACATCCACCGTCGAGGCCGAGGTTCCCTACTTGGATCTTGTCGGCAAGGCAATCTTGGCCTTGTCGCTTTGCTCCTCGGCAGCGTCCATGTACAGATCAATCAGGCAACCAGCCGACCAAGCCTGTGTGGGGCTCTGTGTGTTGTTAGCGCTGGGTTTCATCACAGCAACAGTGGGAACACTTACGGAGTCGGGGCAGTCCTCTCCATTCTTCTGGGTCAGCTCGGTCAAACCAGCCCAGGGGCTGTCCTTGATCATCTGCTTGCATCCCATGAGTCTTCGAGTGACTTGCTGGAACGCTTCAATACGGTCCGCATCGGAGCTTCTTCTCTCCAAGTCGAACTTGAGCAGGGCACGCAGGAAGAAACCAGTCGGCCAGAGCCATTCCGGACCCTGGTGGTAGTTTCGTCCCTTGCTAGTGGCGAAGTCATCGCTGTCCTCGCTGTTGCGGTAGTAGGGTCTGTAGTTCAGGTCGGCGGGATCAAGCGTGGCCATTCCGGTGGGGCCGCGGAGGACATGGTCAGCGACGCAAAGCGCGTGAAGGGCGTGCGCCGGCTCAAAGAGCTCGGGAGCAGCGCACATGGCGATCGGGAAGTTGGCTCGGAGCTGGTAGTCCTCGTATTCCTTGCCGGACTTGTACAAGTCCTTGTAGATACCACGTCGGTTGACGATCTTGGTGTTGACGTCGTACTTGGAGTCATCGTCGGGAGAAACGGGGACGTAGTAGCATCTCTCAAAGTTGGCACGGATGAGATCCGCCCAGTCCTTGAAGGAGATTGAAGAGTCGTCACCCTTCTTGACGGAAGAGTACTGGAACTTACCCTCAGAGTTGAGCCCCGCGACCCACTTGAGTGTGCTGTAGAGGAGACCGGTGATCTCAACAGCAGCACCGTCACGAGGGGTGCCGGGAACACCCTTGGAGCCGGCGCGAGGGCTCTCACCCATCTTGTCCATCCACGTACCACAGTTGTGTTGGTTGCCGCCAAACACGATACCGGTGTCCCAGTCAACGTTGATGGAGATATTGAAACCCTCGTCGCTCATTTGAGAGTCAATGGAAGGTCCAGCGTTAGCTTCGCGGAAGGACATGCCGGAAGCGTGTCTCTGGAGAGCCTCTTGGATAATGTCCTCAATCGTGCTCTCATGCGAGTAAGCGCGCGAGTCGTCGACGTCAAACCAGGTGTCGTCATATGGAAGGAAGCGTCTCTTGACCTTCTCTTTCAGCAGGTCCAGGCCGTTGGGGGCGAACTTGGTGTAGTCCTGGATGCACTGGAGGAAGAACCAGATGGAGTCGCGAGAGTTGTATCTCGGCAGAGCACCACTGCTGAGCAGGTTGGGAATCATACCGTGCTTCAAGACACTGGCGAAAGCGAAAATGTGCTCCTTGGCCTCGTCGAAGCGGCCGGTACCGAGGTAGAGACCGCGCAAAGAGATGAAGACATCACGGCCCCAACATCTCGCCCACTCAACGGCAAAATGGGGCAGACCAGCAGCCAGCGAAGGGACCAACTTCTTGGGCCACAGAGATGCTGACTTGACCAGGCCCGTCTGCTGCACACTGACCATGGCGAGGCTCTGGAGGAACCACTGTCCTTGGCGGACGTTGTCGTTCATCTGCTCCAGACCGCGCTCCCAGCCAGCCATGTAGAGGGTTCGCATGACCAGGCCGAAGTATCTCGGGAGCAGGAAGCTGGGAATCTTGCGAATCGCGTCGAACCGATCCTTAAGCCAGGCAGCAGGCTTGCCAAGGCGCTCAAACTCTGGAGTCTGACTGGCACGCTCCAGCCGGCCGATGGTGAAGTCCAGAGCCCATTGGCCATCACGCAGGTTCTGGCAGAGAGGGTGGGCTAGGTTATTATCCTTGATGATGTTCTTGAGAATGCTCCACCAGCCCTGAAGACCGGCGTAAACAAGCTTTCCGTGACCGGGGATGTCGTAGCAGCCGTCCTTGCCTCCGCTACCGTCACGCTCTTCAGCCTCACACCTGTAAAGAAGGAAGTTGAGGTCGACGAGGTTCAGGTCCTCCACGGCAGCCTTCGCACCAGAGGTCACATAGGTGTCGAGACCTGCAGAGTGCTCAGCAGTCGGGATCCATGTCTCAAATAGGGCGATACTGCCAGGAGGGAACTTGTCCCGGACGGCGATGATGGTTTCATCGCCCTTGACCTCCATGCGGATACCGGGGACATCGACAACGCGGCTCGGCAGGCCGCGAAGGAGCTTCTTGTCATCCAAAACCTCCTTCTTGGCTTCGTCGCTGGCATCAACCTCAAGCATCCAGCTTCCCAAGTGGCGGGCTCTGGTTCCGCCGAGGTGGACGGCATTGAATGCACCATTGCCGTTACCGTATCCGGGGAATGCAGTATGAGCGATCAAGAAGTAACCCTTTCTAGAATCAGGGTGAACTCTGTGAACGGTGATGTACTGGTCCTCGTGGTGAATGTGAGTCTCATCGTACCCGTCCTTGCCCATGAGGGTGTGGATCTGGTTGAGAAGCTTCTTGATGCCACCGATGCCGTTTCTACCGCCACCGACCTTGACGGGCTTGGAAGACGACTCGGAGGTGTAGAGTCTGGTTTCGTTGACCAAGTCAACAAGCTTGGGGTAAATCTCATCGTATCCCATGACACTGCCAGTTGCACTCGCGCACATGTTGACAAGGGCAGCGTTGGGAAGAGTGTCGCGAGCGTCGCGCTTCTGGGCAGGGGTCTCGTTGTCGTGAGTGCAGTCCATGAACAAAGCCTGGACTGGCACCGGCTTGATCCTTCTGATGATCTCTCTCGAGGAGGGAGCTCCGTTGAGCATGTCGCTACCCTCTTGGGAGGGGCTCATCGGGCTCATCGGAGACTTGCCGTCGGGACGAGACACTTCATCAACCTCGAAGCTGCCAATGGGCCGACCACCGTGTCTGTGTACCAAGCGACTTAACTCGCCGGTGCTCCATGCCTGCATAGCCTCACGAATCAGAGCACTCAAGCCCAGCCTCTTAACGAAGACGTAGTCCATCTCCTCGGAACCACTGAAAAGCTCGGCCACGACGTACAAGTCGGGTCTCACGCGGCGAGCCTCATCGAGGATATGTTCAGCCACATGAATGGGTGTGGAGTGGCAATTGTCGATGCGGAAACCGGCAAAGTACTTGGCCAACATGCGGGCATACTTGGTCATGTACTCCCACAGGAAGGGACTGTCAGATGGGCCCTTGCCATAGCGAAGCTTGACGCAGTCGCCCCAGACAATGACCTCGCGTCTGAGATACACGCGAGAATCGGGACCGGCATTGTCGACGAGGGCGTTGCCTCCCCAAACCCAACCGTTGTTGACAAGGACGTTCTCCTCGAGCTTGTTCTTGGCGGTGGTGTCGTTCTTGGGCAAGCGAGTGAAGTATGTCTCGATGAGAGGGTTCTCCTTGTTGATGACGCCCATGCGCGGACCGTGTTCGTCCATGCGGCAGTACTTGATGCGGTTGAAAAGCTGCTGCAGGATCTCGGTGATCTCGGCGTCGTACTCCTTGTAGAAGGGAAGGTTGACTTCGTCTAAGACAGAGACAAGCTTGGACCTGGCCGCAGCCTTCCTGGGGCCGCTGCCCTCCTCACCCTCGTACCGTCCAAAGATGGCAGACAAGAGTCCGGAAGCGACGCTAGGGTCGATCTTTCTTCTGAAGCGCTCTCCCATTCGATCACGGCCTTGGAGACCGTTCTTGATGAGGAACTCGGCTTGCTCCTTCAAAGGCGCATCCTTGAGTCCAGTGACGTTCGTGCCCGCAGCTTGGTCAGGGAACGTGGTCTGGCCAGCAACCCAAGCTTCCAGAGATGCCTCAACATCGCGCTCGACGTCAATTGCGTAGTACTCCCACAGTCTAATCTCAGAGATGACATGCTTCTTGATAGCTTCCATAATCTTCAGCAGATCATCATCAGTCTTGACCTCGGTGGGAAGACCTAGCTTCTCGAGGTTGTCGCTCAGCTCCAGCAGCTTCGTGTCCAAGAGCCAGGCAGACTCCAGCCAAGGCGCCGTCACGAGGTTGTAGCCAGCCGAAGGGTGGTCCTGCAACCAGGCACTGTTGTGCGCCGTGTGGTTCAGGACAATGTCGGTCAAGCTGAGCATGGAGTACTGCTTCTCCAAGCTCTCGACCAAGCCCTGGACATCCTTCTCGCCATCAGGGAAGCAGTCGGGGTCCCAGCCCAATTGGTCGTACAAGCTGTAGGGAGAGTTGGAGGCACCGCGGACCTGCAGCGGGGTGAAGTGGATCATGTTGTATCCACGGTCGCTGATGCCGCGCAGGTGCTTCTCCCAGTCGCCCGGGTACTTGCCCATGAACTTGCTGATGACGGAGAAGATTGAGAGGGCCGGCAGCGGCAGAGGCCTGCCGTCGAGGCTGAGGCGCGGGGCGACATCGATGTAGTAGAGCGGGGTCTTTTTGTTGGTGGTTTCGGTCTGAGGGCTCGAGTCCAGCTCCTCGGCGAGGTCTGGCAGCTCAGCGTAGGTGGTGTAGAAGGCGTAGGCGCCGGCCTGGAAGATGGGAATGGAGATTTCGATAGTGCGATTGAAGTCGGGCACGAGTCTGGGCCGCGCATGAGCTTCAATCCTGTGGTCAATTGAGGAGCAATTGGTGGTGAAGCTTACTTGAACTCGCGGAACTGGTCTCTGTGGAACTCGGCGCCCTGCTCTGGAATGTTGACCCACAGACTGCCATGGCGACAGATGGAGGAGGTGCCCTCAATTGCGAAGCGAATGGTTACAGGGTCGTTCGTCTTGGGAGCGAGGTAAACATACTCGCCGGCGACGTCGGGAGAGCCATCGTCGTTCAGAGGCAGGAGGTAGACTTCGTTGGACATCATGGTCTTTGGCACCATCCCTCAGATGTTGTAGGAGGCAGCTTCGTGCCCCGCGGACAGATCGGCGTAGGTAGACTGGGTCGCGGGCAGCGCAATGACTCGAATCATGCACTGCACGGGGGGCGAATCCGCTCGAGGAAAAACACGCCGATCCGGGTTGCAGGCGACAGGGGACGAATTGGCGACGGACGTCAACGCCAAAGTCTTTGGAGGGTATCTGCTGCTTGGAGAAAACGAGGGAATTGAGGAAAAGAGAAGGATTGCGGTCAGAGTGTGGCAGAGGGAAGAAAAGAAAACACGATGCTGAGGTAGACGATAGCGACAGACAGAGCAAAAGGTCAGCCTGGTAGCGTGGTAAGGTAGCTCTTCGAAAAAGGTATGGCGGGGTGTCAGTGGCAGCTCAGGAATTGGCGAAGGACGAGCTCAGCTCACCGGCCGGAAGCTGTCGCACAGCAGCAGCAAACCGAAGAAAGGAAAGGACTGGTCCGCGGGAACTGCTCCGGCCAAGGAACTTTTTCGAGCGAAGGATTGGCAGACGGGCAAGTACTTGCTGCTAAGCTGATGGCGGTGTCTTTGTTCTTTCTTTCGTAGAAGCAGCGCTCAACCCATCTCGAGGTACATCCATGACTGCGCTGGACCTTCCATGCCTGCAGTAACCTTGCCAACTTTAGCTGCTGCAGCTTGCTTGCTTGCTTCTAGGCGGGCAGCAGCGACGAAGGTGACGGCACCAACAGGAAAGAACCCAGGTCCAAGGCAGTCCATCAGCAGAAAGTCTCAACACGAACGATGGCGGGGCGAGTCCTCCCCCATACAAAAACATGGGAAAGATACATGGTCTGAGATTTGGAGCTGCCAAACCTCCCCGGAACGGATAGCTTCGGCGGGGACAGCACAGAGCGGTGGAGCGCCCTAGCGGGGTTTGAGTTAGCGCCCAGAACCGCGTGGAGCTCGGGAGACCTGCCATCGCGATCTCCATGATTCCAGACCGCGAATTCCCACTTTGTCGCTGCCATGGATCGCGATGATAACCAGTCCTCCCAATGTCAGCATTGTCAGTGGCCATCCGTGCACCGTGTTCCATATCGTGCAACATGGGCCGCAACTGGGGTAGGAAAGCGACATGCCGGGGGCGGAGATTCACCAGAGAGGCCAGGCCCGGCCAGGCCAATGCCAATCGTCGCAGATATCCATGTTTTTTTCTTGCGTTGCGACTCTCAACAGTTTGAAGCGAAGCATATTGCCCCTGCTGCCATCTTTGGTCTATCATCGCATCGGCTCGTGTATATGTGAAGTCGACTATTCAGTTCTGAGCAACGCATAGCTCGTTCTTGGTGTTAGTGAGAACTATGGTAACTATCAATCAATGCATGAAATGGCGTGGTGCTGTGCTCTCTCGGCGCAGATTCCGGTCCCAATTGATTCTTGACTGGTCGGTCTGATTTGTTGTTATGACAGAAGCAGACTACGGCACATTTCCATCCCCCGGCCGAGAAAAAAAGAGGTTAGAACCATAACAGCTCTCATCCCGGTGCTGGAATGACGTCACCAATCCGTCCCGCCGCATTCTAGCGCCTGACAGCATGCACAGACGCGGTTTCATGCCCCTCCTTCCTCGTCCTGTTTCTTGGTAGGCATTTCCTCGCACTTATTTACCATCGGTGTGGAAGCCACGCGAGACAGGCCACCCTTACCTCGGACTCTATTTTCACATTGGTTTCGTCAGAAGAATGATTTTATCGCCTCTCCTTCTGACTCCGTTCGGAGAGTTGTCACTGCGATAGGAGAAGACCAACCGACTCTAATGTTGCAGTACAGTAGCTACGTAGCGTGAAAACTTTTGTTAAATGTTTTCCTCGTAAATGACAAAATTGATCAATACCTCAGCTCGGAAACGGATCGAGTTCTGTTGAACATCGTAACCCCGGTGGTCAGAGTTTGGGAATATCGCAACCAATCATCCGCAACACGTCAAGTTCGTCCGGAAAGTCTCCGATGTGGCATAACTTTAGAAACTCTGGCGCATCGTCAAGAGACAGTTGTTCTTGCTCACGGTTTTCGAAGAACGTTCGGATAATCCATTCCTCAGTCCTTTCCACGTCACTCGCATCGACCGATACGCTGAAGAAGCTTGCATTTCCCCCAGATGATAGTGAATCGACGGCTAGCACAGGTCGCATGAAAGGAACTGTCTGGTGGTCAAAGAATTGCTCCAGGGTTTCGGGAAACTTTCGAAGACTCCATCGCAAGAGAAGTATATCGTCAACTACCACATAGATTGTTGGTGGGCTCGGAGCTCTTTGACTGGGGATGCGGATAGATCTGTCCCCGATGGCGACGAGAAGTCTTGCAGCTTCTTTCCGACCCAAGGCTCCATGAGCAATAAACGACTTTATAACATCTACAGCTGATGGTGCCGGGAGGCTTTAATTACGTCCATCCGAAGCTCTTCTTGTCTCCGAAAGCAGGAAATCGCGCCATGCAAGCATGATGCTGGCCGAAAGATCATGCCTAGCAGTTTCCACAGACTGCATAGTTTGCAGGCATAATCTCATCAGCTCGTTTCTTTGGACAAGACTCTCTCGCGTCTCTCTCAAGGGCACTGACGGATATGCAGCTGAGGAGGACTCAGACACGCTATCAGAAAATTGCAACAGGTTGGCTGAAATCTCGTCAAATTCCGGTTTGGTCGCTGGTGACCGTCGCCTTATCTGCGATCCATCAGATGAACGGCGGGAAGCGACAAGACTATCTCTTTTGTGTGTGTCTTCTAGGTTGAAGCTCGGCTGCTGGTACTGATTCTTATGATTTCCAATAGCGAGGTTATGTTGCGGCGATAATGAAGTCAAGGAAGGTCCAGGGAAATCGATCCCGCGTCGGGCTCTTTGGTATGGGCTCAGAAGTCCGATAGAATCGTCGGCAGCGCATCGAAGGACCAGAGGGAAAATTTCGTCGTTGGATGCTAGCGAGATATCCTGTTTGTGTCGGTTGATGATTTTCGTGACCTTTTCGAACACAGGCCCTTCTTTGCTCAAGGCGACACACCCAAGAACCAATACCGCTTTGACGTACCTAGAGAATACGACAGCGGGCGGCGGCATGTGTTTGCCAAATAGCTCATCGGCATCTTCGCTCTGTAAAAAGTCGATTGCAGTTCTGTGAATAAAAACCAGAGAAGTGCGACGTGACTTCCAGGAGCTCAGTTTCTCAACATCACTTCGTCCAGGCCGGACGGGTGTTCGCAACGGGCTTCGGGTTTCCAATAGTCCCGCAGTGACTGGGTATAAGGTTTTGTAGGTCCGGTCGCACACCTGCACAAGCCTCTCCACGGCTGGGAGCGTGGCAGGCCCAGTGAAGGTCTCCTGTGTATCGTCATCCAATGCCGTTGCGAGAGTAGCAATGCTACAGTAGTCTCCGGGTTGATCCATGAAGCTGACAAGCTGAAAGCTGAGTGCAGCTTGCTTGACATATCTCTCCGCATTTCCTCCTAACCTTGACCACATGTCTTTGTAAAGCTTCATAAGGTCTGGCGGTAACTCCATGATCCGCTCGTACGTGTCATCCCATGTTTCGTCAAAGTCCTCAATACCATTCTTGACGGTCTTGAGAACCACGTACACCCAGATGAACACGCCATTAGCCTTTTCCAGAATTACTTCCGTTATCTTTTGCAGCAGGCCATCATCTTTCCGGGATCGAAGCGATATGTTTTCGAGAAAGTCGATCGTATACTTGTGGATGTCTCGTCGCGTAAGATCTTGCATCCTGAACGTTGGCTTAACGTCAAACCTCTGAGTAAAAACTCCTTCGGGGCGACTCGAGACACAAAGCTTGACCCCGCATTGAACGACCAGCTTGTCCAAAAGCCTGAACAGCTCATCCATGCCCCCGTGAGGTACAGCCAGCTCATCAAGGCCGTCCAGGAGTATGAGATATCCATAAACTATTGACTGGAAGGTCTTGAAAAGATATTCTTTTAACTCTTCCAGGTCCCAGTCTGTCTCGTCTCCCTTTTGCCGAAGGTTAGGTTGCCAATGTAGGAGTTGGGGTACGATACTAGTCTCTATGCTCTAGACCTAGCGCTCCCCGCAAAGTAAGTAAACTTATTAAGTTTAATTAATTAATTAATTAAGTATAAAGCTATCGCTAGTTAATTAAGTTAAGTTTAAGCTTTAAACTTAATTAATTACTTTAACTTTTTTAATAGGGATTATAATATAGATTAAATAAATATTTTATTACTAAATATCCTTACTCTTTCTTATTTTTCTTTATTTACTTTCTACTTCTAATAAAACCCCCCTTAGTAAAGTATAAATTACTCCTTTTTACTTATTTAGTTTCTTCTTTTTTTTTTTAAGTTAATATTATTATAATAAACTTAGTATAATATTCTCTAACCTCTTATTTTAGTTTAAGTATTAAGTAATCTCTTTAGAAAGTTTAAAATTTATTTTTTAAGATTTTCTAGAGATCTATATTAAATCTATTATTTTACTATTATTATCTTCTATCTTTATTATCTATTAATATCTTTTAAATATATTATAAAAATAAAGGTATTATTAATATTACTTTCTCTTTTATTTTATTTATTTTATACTAAATATTTATTATATTAATAGTCTTCTATTTAATTCTTATCTTTTTTCTAAATATTTTTAACTAATTTTTAAAGTTTAGATTTATTATATTATAATTTAAATAAAATAAAAACTACTTCTTATCTAATTATTTTTTATTTAAAAACCTTTTTAAAGTTATAATAAATAATAAAATATATATATAAGAGTTAGAATTTTAGAGAAAAAGTATAAAAAAGAGGATAAATTAGATAGGAAGCTATAACTAATATTTTATTCTCTACTAGCTAAATAGTTAATTAGAAGCTAATTATTAAGCTTATTATTATTATAATCTTAAAAGTAAATAGATTATTTTTAATATTAAAGTAATTTTATTTACTTTAGAGTATTTTAAAAAGAATTATACTAAAAAGATTA